AGCCTGTGCCAGCCTTTGTGCACTTCTTGATCTGAGGCACTGTCAAGCAATCCTTGTCCTTGATGGCCTTCACCACCTCGCCCTTGGTGACATTCAAACAGGTGCAGATGACATCGTCCTCGGCAATGCCTGTGCCGTCTCCACCATCGTTGGCCACTGCTCCTTGACCTGGGGGAGGTCGGCGGAAAGCCAGGCTTTCCGGATCAGCGCCGCCCAAGTCGCCCTTCTTGCAGATCTGCAGCAGCTTTGGGTAATCCTTCGCGTCACCAACGAGGACACCTCCAACCAGCTTCTTGCCATCCTTCGTAAAGCACAGCCGCCGGTACGAGCCGTCCAGGGGACTGCTGCATTCCAAGTTCACAACTTCTGGGTCCTTGCCGTCGAACTTGCGCTTGAACCAAAAGCTCTCATCGGAACCGAAGGACGCAACATCAACTCCCAAGAGCTTCAGCTTGGTGCTCAAGTCACTCTTCTCGTAGCTGGCACTGCCTGCGCCATCAACCAGGTTCTTGACCAGTGCCTCTGCTTGGTCAACTCCCGGAGCCCATAGACCATAGCAAAACACGCCCCCAATCGACGCAACCTCTCCCAGAGCATAGATGCTAGGGTCCGTAGAGCACAAGCTTGAGTCCACCTTGATGCCGCCTCGTCCACCGAGCTCGAGACCGCAGCCACGTGCTAATTCATCTCGAGGGCGAACTCCGCAAGAGACTACAATCATGTCCACGTCTAAAATCTTGGGCTCGGTTTCGCCATGGGGAATGAACTTCAGGCCCTTGACCTTGCCACCATCCAGGACAGCCTCTTGGATCTTGGCTCCACTATGCACATGGATGCCTAGGCTGCTGATCTTCCTCTCCAACGCTTTCCCAGCTTCCTCGTTGAGCTGCGTAGGCATGAGGTACGGGGCCATCTCCACGACGTGGCTTTCCATCTCAAGATCATACACGGCCTTTGCAGCCTCGAGGCCCAAGAGACCGCCTCCAATCACGGCTGCGCGCTTTGAGTTCTTTGCTGCAGCGATGAGTGCTTCAAGATCTTCAATCGTCCTGTACACGAAGACGCCTTCAGGGCGAGAAGCTGGGTCATCTGGCCACTGAGGGTTCTTCTTTTCTGGCAAAACGAAGCCGGGAGTTGGTGGAACGAAGCAGAAGCTGCCAGTGCAAAGCACCAGGATGTCGTACTTCAAGGAGTCTGCATCTTCATCAACAGAGCTTCCACCGTGGCTGACTTTGGAGTACGCAACCGACTTGTTGTCACGGTCAATGCTGGTTGCGCGACCATAGACGAGCTTGACATTCTTGCTCTTCAAGTCCTCCTCGCTCCAGTAAGACAACTTCATCTGGTCATGCTTGTCGCCATCGCAGTCCAAGAAGTACTGCGTCAGCATGACGCGATTGTATGCTGGACGAGGCTCCTCGCAAACCACCGTGATTTCAAACCCGGCCTCCCTCTCTGCCAGTTTCTCAATGAAGGCATGACCAATGGGGCCATGTCCAACCACAACGACCTTCTTGCCTGCCATAATTGCACACCCTTCGCTGAAAGAGGCGACTATGCTCAGCCTCAGCAGCTTTTGATCTGTGTCCACACCTTACCTTGAGCCAGAAAAGCTCGCAGGCAATGTGGCAACTGGTGGCAACATCAACCCGCTGTGACCCAGGCAGACGTCTCAATTCAAGCCGCCGGCCTTGATGTTCCTGAACCGCGGAAGCGACACCCTCATGCCTGTCCGCGGGCTTGACATGCGACAAGCGCGCACAGATGTCTTAAACACCGAATCACGCAGGCACTAGCACCGCAACAGCTTTCCGGCCAAGCTGCTCAAATCTCTAAGCTTCAGCTTCGCATCACCAAGATCAGGGATCGGAAACACGGTGCCAGTCATTGACCCTGTCCAAACATATCCGGAGTCCCTGAAGCAACTATAGTAACTATCACTCAAACTGTTAAGACTGTTGGGATTCTTATCCGAAGCTGCGGGGTGATCGAGCGTCTCATCTCCTGACAAACTAAGGAAGGCCCTTGTGTACAGAAGGGGGGTGCGTTAATCAGGAGATCTCACTTGTCCACATTGTCAGGAAGCTGCAAAGGCTTTCTGTCCAGCAGTACAGTCGGTGGGTGTCAGCTGGGTCAAACTGCAACCCACGAAAGCCCCTCTAACGCACCCGCACAAGCCCCATACAGCAACAAATTCCCTACTGTCAAACCCAAAAGAAGAAGGCCTCTGCCGTCCCCTTCGTCACTGTAGCGGCAGTCTCAGCGCTGCAGCCGAAGGACCTCGGCCTGAAGTCGGCCAGGGTTTAGGGCTTTGGGGTTTGGGCGCCCACTCTCGGGCACGCCAGGCGAAGTTCTTGGTGCTGAGCCGGTTGACATGAGACAGCTGCAAAGAGAAACCGCACAAAGTCACTTCCAAAATATTCCAAGTAGACACATTCCAGCCTCCTGAAAAGGTGACTGTGCGAGCAGGCATGGTTCCAACGGTTTTGAGTCTGGTGCTTGGTCTGTTGCCGGATGCGCGAGACTGACACGGAGTAACAGAAATGCTGAAGGTCGACTGAGCTCTGCTCAAGCCCACTCATCAGGATGCCACAGCATGCGACGGACAGCTCCAATTGGAGTTCGCAGCAGCCGGGCCGACATAGGAAGCTACAAGAGATGTAGATCAATGCAATGTTGCTAGGTTGGTCGAGGTTGGCCGTCCTTCAAACAAGCGCGCTGCTTGTATTGGTGTGTTTAGGCATCTTGTTTCGATGCCTGCACTACAACATGACAACCACTAGCTGGGTAGACTGACCATAGACTTGCTTCGGCCTGTATCGACCAGACTGTACATCTGCGGCTGTCTCAAGACGAGCCTGCGGAAGACACGGATGTATTGCGTCTCGGCGCAAGGGCCTCACCAGTCAAGGGCGACATGCTTGCCGTTGGCATCGAAAGGCTTGGACTTGCCCATGACCTTAGCAGCCTTCACGCCGGCCTCCTCGACCGCCTTGCGAGATGCAGTCTGGAGGGCCTTAGCATACTCCTCGGGTGCTGGCAGCTTCACTTCCACTTTGCCATCTGTCACACGGGTGTGGAAAGTGGAGAGGTTCAGGTCTGGACTGGTGATGCCGCATCCCGTTCTCAAGTCATAGACTGTCTTGTACACTGGATCAGCCACTGTGATTGCGCCACTGGCTGGCTCACCCACCAAGCCGCGAGAGATCACTCGCACTTGCTTGCAAGGGCACAGGTTCTGGGTGGCGAACCACTTCTCCGACTCATCCTGACGGTGCGACAAATTGAAGACCGCCACCTCAGCGTCACCGTGTTTCATTGCAAGACCTCCGGCCCTCGGGAAGTCTTCAACCTTCCCGACAGGGTACCACTGCCAGCTTTCCTCCGCCTTCTCCTTGGAAAAAGCAGCTGCACCCTTGATGTCTGGCAAGTCGTAGGTGGCTGGATAGCGCTGCTTCCGCATGTTGACGTACT